TTTCCCCTCTTTGGTAAATTAGATAATTTCCAACAAATTCAAAGACAAAACAAATATATAATATCTATACATATATTGTAAAGTATACGTCTGAGACATTCATCGATTCAAAAGTCAAAACTAAGGTCGATACAGTACTTTTATAAATTGCTTACCCAAATAATTATTCAATTGTGGTGGAATTTGAAATTGGCACGAGGACCAAAATAGGGTGTCGTGAAGCTAAGCACTCCAATATTGTTGTGCAAGTTAAGAACTGCGGGCTCAAGGAGCTTAATTGTTAGCGGGAGATCAAGAGATACTATATATTGTCAGATAAGGCTGTAGTGTTGTTAGCCGCCAGATCGCTCACATGGCAACCTTATCGTTTGTGATCTCACATCACTATAGAAGTGTCCCAAACATGACCTAATGATGTTAATCCAATGTCTCCAAAAACTCGAAGCAGAGATGATGACTAGACTGGTCACCTCAGTTGATATGGCTCGTAAGTGTAGAGATAAATGATTTTCGGCAAGCTTTTTTTTTTTTTTTAACCATCTAATTAAGGTTGTATTGGCTCGATCAATTTTTGTTAGAAAGTCTGACTGAAAAGCAGAAACACCAAAACCATAGTGAGACTTCAAGTATAGGAGACTCCTTAAAGTCATGATGCATTGATTTACATTAACTAAACTTTGCTTATAAAGTGAAGACCATGCAACAGTGTCCAAACAGTGCCTGATTCTATTCTTTTGTTCCCGAGAACAAAAAAAACAGAAATTCATTTGATAAATTTGTATTTCCGAGCACAAATTTATTCCCAGAATCAGTTTTGGAACAGAATAAAAAATAATTAAAAAAAATTGATTCTTGATTCTAGAAACAAGAATCAGAAATGGAAAAGAAAATTTTTCTTCTTCTTCTTCTTCTTCCCTAGCCTGTGGCCGGCGAAGGCTGGACCTCCATGGCTTGGGCGAGGGCGGCCCTTACCCAAGCCGCGAACCGTCCTCGCCGGATCTAGCAAGGGCTGGACCCTCGCGACTTAGGCGAGGGTCACCCTCGCCGGGCCCTCGCCCTCGCCGACCCTAGCCTATGGCCAGGTCGCCATGCCAACAACCTGGCCATGGGCCAAAGAAGGAGAAGGAAAAAAAAAAGGAAAAATAAAGAAAGAAATATTAAAATATTTAAAATATTATTAATAAAAAGAACTTTTGTGCAATTACCAAACGCATTTATGTTTTTTTTTTGTTCCAGAAATAGAAATTTTGGGCAGTTACCAAACGTCTTGAAATGCTTATAAATTGTTTCCGGGAACGGAAAAAAAAATCATTTTGAAATAGAAATTGTTTCCGGGAACATAATGGTTATCAAACGCACTCTTAGTTGCTGGAATCAACAAGCCAAAACCCAGAGGTGAAGCCAAATCAAGGAGGAGGAAGTCGAGCATGGAATATCACGACCCAGAATTTCACTTTCCGCGAGTGAGCCTCAGCCACAAAGAATAACCAACAGGAGTGCTAGTTGGGCAAAGGCGGATTTGGTCGAGTGTACAAAGGAACCCTCCAGGGGACTGGGCAGGTGACAGAGAGTCTTCGACTTGCTCTCCCTCTTCTTCATCTTGGAAAAATGTGAGGTTTATGTAACCGTGCTTTCCTTGATCGTTAGGTGGTTGCCGTCAAGCAACTCGACAGGCATGGACTACAAGGAATCAAGGAGCTCCTCGTTGAAGTCCTCATATGTTGATTCTCTAGCACCACGAAAATCTTGTCAATCTCATGGGGCATTGTGCTGATGGAGATCAAAGACTTATCGTGTTTGAATACATGCCCGGAGGTTCTCAAGAAGATCAATTGTTCGGTACCTCTACTACTCTATATAAATTTGATTTGGAGTATTTTCTCGCCAAATGAGCGTGCTGATAACGTAAATCAGGTGACCTCTCACCTAGCTTCTATGCTACAAATCATTACCAGCTTGCGTGGTTGTTTATACAGTACACATTGGACCGCGGCAGAAACCTCTGGATTGGCTTACCAGAATAAAAATAGGATTTGGTGCTGCACTGGGTCTCTAGTATTTGCATGATATGGCCAATCCACCTATTATATACCGCGATTTGAAGTACTCGAATTTCTTGCTGGACGAGTATTTCAATCCGAAATTATCAGACTTTGGACTGGCCAAGCTTAGGTCTGCGGGAGACAAGATGCACGTCTCATCCGGAGTTATGGGTACTTGTGGCTATTGTGCTCCGGAATATGCAAGATCGGGCAAACTTACACCGAAGTCCGACGTGTTTAGCTTCAGAGTCGTCCTACTAGAACTCATACCAGACAGAGAGCAAATGACACGACAAATCCACTGATGAGCAAAATCTAGTTGCTTGGGTAATTTTACAGTCCAATGATAGTCAATGCTATCTATGTTTTAGTCATCATTCTCGCTAACTTGTAAAGGGATGGCATTTGCGTACAGGCTCAGCCTATTCAGATCATTTCCAGACATGGCTGATTGGCTGATCCGTTACTCAAGCTGTTGCAGTAGCAGCCATGTGTCTGCAAGAAGAAACCTCGGTCTGCCCACTAATGCGACGTTGTTCCTACTCTTAAGCTTCCATTTAGTGGCTCCACCTGAGACCGTGGCTGTTCCTCCTCCAGAGCCCAACAAACATCGCTATATCGAGCGAGGGCGGCCCTCGCTCACCTGTGATCGGTCTCCAACCATCGCTTGAGAGATAATTTTTCTTTTGTTTTACAAGTGAAAAAGGTGAGCAGAAGCGACCGATTTTAAAGACTCCTCTAAAAGTTATATAGGGGTCTCACGTCTACTAAAAAGATGTTCAATACTACTGCACACTACTTGAAGATCCGAGATTGGCGAGCTCGTGAATGTAATCTTGCCACAGTCAAGAAATCTCTCAACATGAAATATTACGCAATTAGGCAACACGACACGAGCAGTTAATAGCGCACTATCTGCAATCGAAGATCCGAATTGGCGAGCCCGTTATTGCAGGATCGCCTCAGTCAAGAAATCTTCCCACGCGAAATATGACGCAATTAGACAACACAACACGAATTGTTCAGTGAATCGCTCATGCCATGAATCGAAGTTGTGATGTCGTGGAAGACAAGTCTCCTTTTTTTGTGCTTATACATAGCATACTTACGCCTTCTTTTTTCATATATATAAAGAAAGCTTATGCTGTACACTATGAATCAGTAGGAAATACAGAGTGAAGTGAATTGATGTCAATGGCATTTCTCATGATTTTGAGTCTAAGGGACATGCTTTTGTTATCATTATCAGCAACAATCTATGCCTTAACAATTCCATTGATGATGAAAATATTTTGTATTTGTTTAATTTTGTCAGCGATGTAAACAATCTTTTTAAAAAAAATATTTTTCAAATCGTTTATTTTTCACAAAACAAATGCACCATTAATAAACTCTTATCTTCCCTTAATTCAATACAAAAAGATTAGTCAGTCACTCGCGTTTTTTGTGTGGATATATAGTTGGGTTACCACCAAAAATCCCAAATTTCTACATCTATGACAAATTTACCCCAAACTAATTTTTTGACCCCAAAACCCCAAACTGATACACCTGTGACAAATTTACCCTCCGTTAGTTTTCGTTAAATTTTACCGTTAAATTGCTAAGTTGGATGACATATGGCAGTTGACGAGTGTGCCAGTTTAGGGTTCTACCCCTCTATTTGTCACTGATTTACAAGTTTATGATTTTTCATGGTATTAATCCAATTTAACGGATGGTAAATTTGTCACAAGTGTACCCGTTCGAGGTTTTTTGTGGTCAAAAAATTAATTTAAGGTAAAATTTTACAGGTGCACCAGTTTGGAGTTTTTTGTGGTAAAAAAATTAGTTTTGGGTAAATTTGTCATAAATGTATTAATTTAGGATTTTTTGTGGTATTAACGCTATATAGTTAAGTGATAGAAGTACTTCCTTTTCCGCACTTTATCTCATGGAATTAGATCAAATAGTCTGTGCTTCAAAACCTGGATCCCAAATTTGTGGAAGGGAGTTCAACTTCTGTTTTTCTTTACTATATTCAAAAGGTTATGACTTAAAAAAAGGGACTAGAGTTTTAGAGTTATGTGAATATATGACAATTTGATTCGAACATCTTGATATATTTTAAAGAAAAATCAAGTTAGCTTAACTTCAACAGTTATGGGGAATTGAATAAGTCATTCAACAGTTTGTTTCTCTAACTTTCCTTTCCTTCTAAAATGCTGGGGAATTGAGCAAGTCACTATGAAACACGGAAGCTAAGCTTGGCATGGCCGGGGGAGTAAGTTCCATGTAACAATTCGACCTGATTGTATTCATTAAAACTGGGGAATTGATTCCCACCAAGTGATTGGCTGTGAAGGAGTTGCCTGCCTTTCACAAATATACGAGTTCGATTCACGTCACAAATTCCTTACTGTTAGTAGTTTGATAGGACTTTGATGACGGGGTCATCAACATCGAACTTTTAGGATTGCGGGTAGTGTGGAGCAATTATAACTCAAACCAAACATTGTGTAACGGGCGTGCCTATATATATAGGTAAGAAAATGCGTGGTCTGTTGAGAATTTTAATTAGAGTTCATTAACTTATCTCGTTATAAAGATTCATAGTTTTGTTCGGTTGCCATTGTACTGCTTGAACAAGGACAGTTATGAACACGAGAAATGCTCTCTTTTGGATCCTAGTGGTCTCTCTTAATCTCTCTCCTAAGGAATGAAACCCCAATCTACTTAGTGAAGTTTCTTTCATGCAAAACATGACAAAAAGCAGAATGTTTGGTGCTTTGCTAGTTTGGCAATCCTAGAATTTATCGGCCAATGGGATACACTTAGGAAAAATCAGGACTCCTCCACTCCAACCTATTAGCATATCTCACTCTCATCTCTTCTATCCCAAGCTCACAGGCCTCCTTCAACTCCGCTCTCTCTAATCATATTGTTCATATTTCTTTAGCCAGTGACCTTAAAGACATCATGGGCGTGTTCACTTTCGCAAATGAATACATTTCCACAATCCCTCCGGCAAAATTGTTCAAGGCCCTGGCTGTGGACTCACATAACCTAATCCCCAAACTTATGCCTCAAGCTATTAAGAGCATTGACATCATCCAAGGCGATGGAGGGACTGGAACCATTAAGCAGATCAACTTCATTGAAGGTAATCATGCCTTTTTTGCTGTATAAATGTGCTTTTTTTCTAGCTTTAACAAATATTAGGGTGTAGACAAGTATCCTATGATACGATATTTTTCTATTGTATATAGGTGGTCACCTTAGCAGCATGAAGAATCGTGTGGATGAGCAGAACCTAGAGACATTAACGTACAAGTATACCATGATTGATCTTAAGGAGAAGTTTAAATCTATTGTTTACGAAGTCAAATTCGAGCCAACACCGGAAGGCGGGAGCCAGAACAAGATGACGAGCACATACTACACAAAGGGAGAGGTTGAGCTTAAAGAAGAGGATGTTAAGGCAAGCAAAGAGCGAGCCTTCAGAATGTACAAGATCGCAGAAGCATACCTCCTCCAAAACCCCGATGCTTATGCTTGAAACTTCACATGCTCTCTCGAGTAATTTAAGAAGCCTTGTCAATAAGTTCTCATGATATATTCTATCTTCTGTTGGAAGTATCCGAGTTCCTTTACTTCTCTATGGCTGTAAACTTCCTTAAATTCGAATGGCAATAAAGATACGCACTTTATAACTTCATTGTGAGCGATTCCTATAATTGCCCTGTGAGAACACAAAGTTTATTTCGTTGAAACAAGTATTATGGGACGTGTTGTGATGACAACTCATTGAACGCTTGCATAAATGTTTACTTGAGCACATCACAAGGCTCTAGAAAAAGCTTCCCATAGATATGTTACCGGCCTTTTAACTCCATCCTAGCATCAAATTTTATGTATTCTCTTGTCCTTTACTTTATAAGTAAATAAATTGAAGATGAAAGATGATAGAGGTGTGAGTTTGGAGGAAGCCCACTTGAGCATACAAGATAGAGATTTACAAAAAAATTCAACATTCCATTTTCAAAAAAGGACAACATTAGAAATTGTGGAACCAGTTGTAAGCCGTTCAACTCATCTTATGCGTATTTGATGCGGGATTTCGATACACTCCAACCCTTCAAGCACTTGCGCACATCTCTAAGGAGTTCATCCTTCGGCAATGGACTTCCAACATAGTTTTGTGGTTCCTAAGGTTGACCTTTTTCGAAACAAGTATGTTAGGCTCTATAAGGTTGGCCTGGTCACGCTTCTCTCGTCTTCACTTTAGTTATCCAAAAAAAATCCATGGACTGTAAGAATATGCATATCTTTAATAACAGCCCAAAACGTTTTGATTTTGAATGATCTATCACTCTAGATATTAAGGCTTCATTAACCAGATATGTGTTAGTGTCAATTTATGAGATATGAGTAAATTAGGACTAAACAAGTATATATAATCACAGCTCTATTCTGACCAAAAATAAAAAAATCACAGCTCTACACTTTAAAAACTTTCATCCATTCCAAATTTAGGGTGGAATAATAACTTCCGTCGACAATATTAGTTGTTTTGACATGCAATTGAAAATTTTGATTTATATGTATTTTATATAAGACAGTATAGGAAAAGTTTTGATAAAATGCAAGTATCTTCTGTCTCGGTTTGAAACAAAACCAAATGATTTTGGTCTGGTTCGGCTTCAATTAGTAAAAATGGTTTTGATTTGGTTTGAGTTTTTATCAAATCATATTTCAACGTTTTGATTTGATTTGATTTGGCCTTCAAACCACGCCTAACTGCAACATCATCACCCTCACTCACAAATCCTCACACGATTGCATGTACAAAATACGCGTTGTGCCTTAGGACCAAACCTCCTTGATAAGCAACCCCATAATTTATGGTTCTTTTTCCCGCCGGACACACGTCGAACGTTAAACATGTACATGATGGAACAAAATTCATATTGATCGACGTTGTGACGATAAAAAAGTTTAATGCTATTTCAAATTAGGGCGACGTATTAAAACCGTACCAATGCTGGAGATATGCGACCAAAACGAACAATTAGATAAGATCACCCAAAATGAAAGTTTACTTCTACGTGCTAACCCACAATCATTAATATTTGTTATAATGCTTAGAAAAAATTATGAAAAGACTTAGCAAAATGAGACAAAAGGAAGAGAGTGAGGGTTAAAAAAATAGAGATAATTGTTCAAAGGTTTAATACCACAGAAAATCCCAAACTGATACACTTGTGACAAATTTACTCTAAACTAAAATCTCAAATTGGTACACCTGTGACAAATTTAGCCTCTATTAGTTTCTATTAAATTTTACTGTCAAATTACTGAGTTGGATGACACGTTGCAATTGACGGGTGTACCAATTTAGGGTTTTACTCCTCTATTTGTCACAGATTTACCAGTTTGTGATTTTTTGTGGTATTAATTCAATTTAACGAAGGGTAAATTTGTCACAAATGTACCGGTTTGAGGTTTTTCGGTGTATTAACCCTTGTTCAAATCAACTGTCCGCTCATTTAACAACAGTTGGTACAATAATGCTGCATTTCCTCCTCAGGCTATCGGATGTCTAAAGGGCATATCGCAAAGCAGAAGAAAGAAGCGAGACACTTCAATCATCTCTCTCTGTTCAACGATGGATGTCACCACTGCGTCGGCGGCGAAGTTGGTGTTTCCATCGTACCTGGGCCGTAAGAATCGCCGGCCCAACCTTATCCTCCTCCGCGTGCAGGAGGAGGACCGGAGCTTGCCGCTCAAGGCCCTCACGGCCAACTATTGCGTTCGCAGGGGCTTCCCATACAAGGCCGTGCGGTTTAACCATAGAGGCGGACAGGTTCCGAAGGCCAAGTCGGCGGAGGATCTTGGCAAGGACATCATCGACGCCCGAGACGATTACCGTGCAAGGGGACCGATCCTTTTGATCGATTTAGAAGAAGGTTGTACTTTTAAACTCGTCACTTTCATCGTGAGGTACCGCCAATCATTTTGATTGATTTAGCAAGAGGCGGTACCCTTTCATGACCACTTCCGATATTTAATGCTATATTTTCTTAATAAGTGTCACGATCCGAGGTTCGTTGAACGACTGAGATCTATTGCATTTCAATCTAACAGTGAAAAATTACGAGAGTCGAACGTCTCCCGAAGTATCAATCCAAGAAAAGTTTAGAATTTTCAAAACTTCGTGTTTTTCTTGTATTATATGTAATTAATGTATTGCTAATCCAGATATTAAATATGATTACTAAGCGGAACAAGAGCTGTTTTGTTTTTTTTTTTTTTCTGGTTGAGACATGAATGAATCGAGTTGCGTATGTCAATATTTGCAGAGAAGTAGGAAACAAACGCCGAAGCATATAGTCATTGATTAAATATGTTAAAATGTTAAATGTGATCCCTGAACTTGAATTAATGAAAGGATAATATTGAACATTTTTGTATAGTTCGAGGACTAAATTAAACATGTACCAAAAGTCCATGAATCATATTAAACAAATTAAAAGTTCATGGATCATATTATACATTGGGTCAAAATTCATGGACCACACTGAATAAATTAAAAATTTATAAATCAAATTATATATTAAATTAAAATTTATGAATTACTCGTGCCATTATCCCTTATATAAAATTATCTATTGTTAATCGACGGAACGGTGCCCTAGTTAATCAGATTTAAGATCGGCTTGGAGTCCACGAGAAGGGAATCAACACGCCAACCATTACATGCTAACTGGCCTGTCCAATCGTCCTACCCTATTCACATTGATTGATATGTGCAGCCTTTCCACTACTTTGTCAGACCTTTAAGGGGCAGAACATTGATCGGAGTTAAATACTGAGCTGTGGAGATGAAAGTTGCGGTGGTGACTTCTCGCTAGCCACAAGAAAGAGATCAGTGCTTAACTTTCATGTGCTTGTTTCGATTCGTACTCAAACACCAAGCCTCAGCGGTACCACCACCATGGCACACCGGCAACTTCCTTCGCAGTCCGCCGTCGTTGGTACTGAAGAGCATGACCCGGAGGCCATCGACGAACTAATTTCTTCGCTTCCCATAAGCAAAGGTCCGGTTCGTCCTGTCCATAGCCTTTACCAAAACTTTTGGTGCCCGATGCCCATGCTTCCCAACGTGATCGCGTTCCAGCGGCACTTCGAAGCCAAAGACAAGGACATTTTCCTGGTCTCTAATCCCAAATCAGGAACCACCTGGCTAAAGGCCCTAGTGTTCTCCGTCGTTAACCGCTCTCACTTCGACATCTCTAACACGCCCTTGCTCACTTCGAACCCCCATGAAGTCGTTCCTTCCGTCGAGCTTAAGCTGTGGCCCGACCTCGACGACCCGGCGGAGCCACGGCTCCTAGCGACGCACATCCCTTACCCATCCTTGCCGGAGAGCGTCAAGCGGTTGGACTGCCGGATCATTTACATCTGCCGGAACCCATTGGACACCGTGGTTTCCTGCTGGCACTTCTTACTCGAGACGGCGCGGTCGCAGGACCAGCCGGAGTGGTCCTTTGAAGAGCATTTCGAGACCTTTTGCCAAGGGCAAATCGTGTTCGGACCCTTTTGGGATCACATCACGAGGTACTGGAAAGAGAGCTTGGAGAGGCCACACAAGGTGTTGTTCCTCAAGTACGAGGACTTGAAGGAAGATATTGGAGGACAGCTGAAGAAGGTGGCCAAGTTTGTGGGGCTTCCCTTCACTCGGGAGGAAGAGGAGGGAGGTGTGATAGAAGAGATAGCCAAATTGTGTAGCTTCAGGACCCTGAAGGATCTGGAGGTCAACAAATCCGGCAAATTACCGGGTGTTCCCGCGGAGAAGGAAAGCTTTTTTAGGAAGGGCGAGGTGGGTGATTGGGTTAACTATCTCACTCCTTCCATGGTGGATCGCCTCAACAGCATCACGCTAGAGAAAATCAGCCCCTTTGGGTTACAGTTTAAAACATGTTGAGTGTTAAATACTCACACTTTCTCTGTGTGTCATTAGAAATAAGCGAAATGTAATAGCCGATCAACAGCGTAACCAATCTGCTGCTGCAGAAGCTCCATCAGCTGTGAGCAATGTCACTTCGGCCTTTACTTCTCCAGCGCCATCAATGGAAGGGCGTCATTTTCTTGTAATTTGTTGTGAAAGCAAAGCTAGTTTTCTGGACTCTGGCATGTTTCTCGTGGACGTCAGATCAATCTAATCGTTTCCACTCTTATCAAACAAAATGTAGACCCCAATTATAAGTTGTGCCCATAAACAGCTGCCTGAGTTTTAACTTAAACCTCGAATCCATCTATCTAAGATCCAAAATATCCGGACCATGGGCACGTAGACATAAAGTCATTTGTTGAATTGGGTTATAGTCTACCGAAAAGATAATTTGACCAAAAGAATTAGGCCTAATTCCCCAAAACAAAACCTCAATTTTACGTCCAATTTCAATTTTGTCCCGATCATATTGCTTAGCAAATCTAATCTCCTAAATACCCCTAAATGGGTGGGTGATCTTCTCCATTAATATGGAAACTAAAAGTCAGCAAAAGTAAGAGAGCATATTGCTTAG